CGCTAACGTTTTACTGCTAATCGTGGGACATCGTAAATCTGCCTTACTCTGATGTGTAAGCTAGCCACTCGCTTAGCCTGAGACACAGATGACAAAGTGTACAATATTACAGTAGGGAATTACAGGTGATAATAAAGTATAAACATAATAATCATAACAAGTCTAATACCCTGCGGTACCACAAGTCAAGAAAATCGTAACATCTATAGTACTATGTTACAGAGATAATACACATAGTACAGTATGGGCACATTATCGTACAGTACTAAAATTATACGTTACAATTCATTGTTATTTAATTGCAGTACTCTTAAGTATTGCACAAACATAAGAAATATGGAATATGGAATGAACAGAAAGCGCAAAAACTACAGTATATACTTTTTGTCATGGTCCTATGGAGCATCTTCTATCGACGTAACAACTTTGCATGTGCTTATAGCCGGATGTTATACTTTAATGCCATAATGCACTGCACTTACAACGGTATGGCATATCTCGGAATGAGCAACGTGTAGCGCCATACACCAGTATAGTAAAGAGCATCGTACTAATAAATGGTAGAGAAAGAACAGTAAATCACGAACAAATGTACTCTGTGACTCATCAGTACGACAAATACTACAGTACATTCTTAATATCGTATTATGCATCGCATTTAGCCACTGTTTATCGTTTTATCCTGTAACACTCTAAAACAATAAAAACGATGTATACATATGCATGGCAAATTATGCGCAATTATTCCAAAATCAGATTTTAATATTTAATTCATCTTAATACTTGTCTAGGGTTGCCATCTGGCCCAGGCGAGGCACCGTTTAATGATAACCTGAAGGTTTGCAACTTTAAATGTATATGCCATCACACTGTTCGCCAGAACAATCTCCCTTTCATCATCAACGACATTTCAGCTACTACTCATGATATGCTACAGATAAACTAGTAGCACTGAGCCTCTGACTACTTAAATGCTTCTCTTAAGAAACTGGAAGAAAGGAGACGTAACAATATACTTTAAAATCTGCTTTTGCAAAAGTTACACAACGATAAGCGGACTCCTTGATATAACATGTTTTGAATCACTAAATAATACGATGAACCTAGTGCACACTGCCGACACGGTTTATAATACAGGTTTAAAAAGTAGTGTCGCTAAGGGGCAAAAGATGGCGCTGATTATAACTGCATACAATACAAAACTGGATGCAATATGACATCACAAATTCCATAAGAATATGCAAAGTATAGTGCGCTGTAAGACAGTAAACAGCATACCGTATCTGTCTGAAGTACTGTATAGAATTCATCGCAATGTAATGTACGCGTGGATTGCACTATTCGTTGTACAAAGGCATAATTAACTTCAACTGTAAACAGTTTATAGTATAGTCCTCACGTGACGATACGTAATGTATACTGTATAAGAGCTGTTAAACCATATTGCGCATAAGACTCACATAGCATGTACACTGTACAACGCTACCTTAGGGCGAATAGTAAAACATCGTGCTGAATATAAAATTGCATAACATATACTGCACATTCAGGTATGAAAACAACATATTTGTACTGAACATAAAGCTCAGATTCCATATTAAGCAGTACATAGTAGAACACCATCTTGTAGCAATTAACATATCATTGCCTGGTCGTAACATGAATTAGAATAATATAATATGAAAATCTTTATACGAAATACCCAGGTTATAAATTAACCTTTCGTACATGTTATGCAATATACACAAGTAACAGCAGATGAAATATGATCTGAGATCGGCAAATAAATGTCATGATCTAAGCAGTGTTGTGGCATGTCGTTAATCTATATTATACGTTTTCTTGGTAGAACACATGGCAAAAACTATAAAGCTTAACGTTACGTTATAAAGCTTTTGAAGGCGGCCGATTCGGGGTTGATGCACAGCGGGATATCACAGTGCGATCGGCGTTCCACGATGAACTGGTAGATGCGGTCGCGAAGCTCGAACATCGACAAGTGCGACAGCTCCTTTTCCCACGATGCGTCGAACGGTTGCGGGTGTACGGGGTCGAGATCAGAGGCAAACACGCGCATGTTGTTCGACGTGTTCGTGCAGCAATTACACATACACGAGTGAAACCGCATTCGACCCTCCTCAAGGTACGGATGGGCGAGTGCCTCTTCGACGGTCAGTCGTTGATCCTGCACAGGAAAACAGTTTATGCAAGAACGGATATAAAAATAAGGACCAAATAGACTCACCGGATCAAAGCATAACAACTGCGACATCAGATGTACGGCTTCGTGGGTAGCCTGAGGACTCAAAGAATACAGCTTGATCAGATTAGGAGGTCGAAATGGTGATTTTAGCACGTGACTACGTGCCCCTTCGCATGCGTATTTCATCTCTGAAGCTGCGGGTGTACCGAGTAGATCGAGAATGAGGTTGAGCTGGAAAAGAAGACACAGACGTACTATGAATATAAACGCGGAAGAAAAGAATTCGTTATGGACCTAAGAGCACACAAAACTAGGGCTA